AATTCACGACCCCTCACCTACGTCTACAACGACATAGGAGAACCAGAGGCGTTGTCGCCGGCCAATTTCCTCACGGGAAAACGACCGACACCTTTTCCCACACTTGGACTTACAGAGGTTACCCACACTTCTGCAGATCAACTTCTTCAAATTTGGAAACACTGCGAAGAGGTTCTGGACAGATTCTGGAAAAGGTGGTCAACAGAATACTTACTGGAAACTAGAAATATGCAAAGAACCATCACCTCGAAGACGCACAACATAAAAGTCGGAGACCTTGTCCTAATCAAAGACAACTTACTACCGAGACAGCGATGGCACATGGGAGCGGTTGAAGACGTTTCTATCGGAAGAGACGGAAAAATACGATCTGGTACCATCAGATTACCCGGCAGAGTATTTGTAAAAAGACCCATTCAACTGCTTTTTCCTTTAGAAGTTTCTACAAAGTAAGTGTAAAATGAACAAAGTTCATTTCGAGGGCAGTGTGTAAAAACTTCCACGGCGGTCTAGAAGACGACAAAACAGCGGACTGAACAAGCCAAGGCTCGAGCACCACCAGATGAGCACGAGCAGCGGGGGAACGAGCCGACTACAATCGTTTCTGCCTAGCTTCGATGTCCCTTTTCTGACTGTAAATAGTGTACATAAAGTTTCTGTCGATTTAAACACCATAACGTCCAGAAGTTCTTCTATAAACTGCATATAACACCGTCATAAATTGAAAGCCTGTAATTCGGTTCCAGTGAAAATTGACCTATTAGTAAAATACCCTAACATCGAGGAGAACACTGGAAGTGTAATTCAACGATCAGCGCGCGCTGGCCTTCCACTTATAGAATGCTCGAAGTAAATAATCATAATAAATCTTTGACGAACGCGCGTGCACGGCAAAATTCGTTGTAGGCTTTTTGCTTTAGGATACTCACTACTGCAGACGCCAGCACGCGCAGCGCGTGTAACTACACTCTACTTTTTTTCACCTCATGATGTACGACAGGAAAGGCTAAAAGCGCGAGCTCCTTGCTCTAGGGCACATCTCGGCGGCACAAGCTCGCGTGCGTTGAGAGCAGCTCCTAATGCTATGAGCTCGCGCTTCTAGCCTTCTCTGCCGTACAACATAAGGTGAAACGGAGTATCGTAGCATACACCTTGGTGCTTGGGAAATTTAGCAAAAGGTCTAGGGGGACGCTGTCTGCTTTTGTGTGCTATCAGTACCCGGCCGATTGAGTCAAGGCAATCCACTTTTCAAAGACGTTGCCATGCCGACGACTATCGCGTTCATTTAGGCTTAGGAATTGCCAGAATCGAAAGACTATCTAAAAAAGGCGGCGAGGTCATTGCTCATGTTTTGCGTTTTAAGTGAGGTAAGGCAAATCGAAAGCCACCTGCACCATTCATTGTTGACAAACGCGCCCGATATTGCAGCTACAACGACGTATTAGTTCCAAAGCGAGCGGCGCTCACTCACCGGGGCACCGCCATGTTTCCCCGCCGTCCTTGCTCTGCCGGTCACATGACCTATAATTCCCCCTCGTAGGGAAATCCGGTTAACCGCGGTTAGTTAACCAGCTTCGAGCAAACGGGCCCTGGAGATCTTTCGGCGTGCATAGCAGATCTCAGGTAGATGGCACGTTCTCCACAATAATCGTCCGTCAGATTGCGGCGGCCTAGAACGTGGCTGGGCGCCCAGCATTACCCAGGCGCCGCCGTCACTCTTTGTATGACAGACCCGTCTCCCGCTGGGTCGCCTAAAAAAGGGTCGCGGTAAAAAAGGCCCGGGATGAAATGGCCCCGGAAAAAAATTAGTTCCAAGTGTCAAGTAGAAACAAGTTTGTTCGAGGGGAAATGAAATAATCCATTTCCCCCGGACCCCATTTTGAACTTGAAGATATTAACCTCGGGGGTTAATAAAAACACAGCAAGTGCATTTTAGTTTAAAGTGCCGTTATCGTTTTGTCTTTTTTTTGTTTGTTTGTTTTGCAACAAACAAAGAGGCGCATGCGTTTTGACACAGTGGCATTAAAAAGGAGGTTTGGAAGCATTGCGGGTCGCAACCATGAGCCACACAACGGTGTGGAAGGCCATCGACACCCACGCCCAGGGAAATGGACCGTAAATCTCTTGAAACACATTAATCTCCATTACGCCAATAAACTTACCAAAAGTTAGTCCGGTGAACCTTTCATAAACGTCACAGAATAAGGCTTTCAGAAAACTTTATCTAGCATGATATATTTTGGCAGTCCAAAATCGATTAATCATTGGTGGCTTCTGGATTATATAATATAATAGTCACAAGATATGAGATCTCCATAAATTATACGTGTCAGTAGTTACATCAAAATGTGCAGGCTATTTATTGAAGTATATTATTCCTTCCAAGTTCCCGTTATGTTGAGACTTACGTCTTTTTGTTCTACAGCCGGGAGCACTTTTAATAGAAGTCAAATTTCCAGCCACCTCGGCGGGTTGAGGCAAATCACCGGCCTACATTTTCCCAATCGGCGAGTTCAAATCCCGGCTGAGGTCTCCGCCATCAGATGGAGGTTCCTTTGCGTTGGATGCGCCGCCGCCGGATAACCAAGATTTCGGTTGCATGTTAAATGATCCCTACGTAATGGAAATAATTTTTTCGATCTTCCGCTGAGGTGTGCCAGATGCCCTTCGTTGATTTGGTACGCAAAACTGCCAAATTAAACTTTTGAGTCAAAGTCGATCTCCTCAAGAGAACACGCGCCCGAAAAGGTGGATGAATGCGCCCCAGAGCCATAGCGTGGCGCCTCCACGCATTTTCGGGAACGCTTTGTAAAATTAAAGTCCCCGCGACGCGCGATCAGAGATTCCCCAGGAGCCTCGGTTCTCAAAGCCGAATTAAAATTATCTGGCGGGTTAGTTGGTCTTATATATTGGTCAAGTTAGCACTCTATATTTTGTCTCTCCGTTCTTCCTCACAAGTTGTTGCGCTAATTTTGTTAAGACTGATAGCAGAGTGCGCCTCTTAAAACTTCTATTATAACACGCGAATACTCAGACTCCTAGCCGGCCGTAATTAATATCGCATTCTCGAAGTCGACTATTTTGTGCTATGCCACCGAGCTCGCGTTGCTTCCAGAGTACTCCAAGTTTGTCACAGTTAGTTTCGCGTGCGCTTGCGAACGAGACGCAAGATGCATCCAAGTACTTGCATGGAACCGTGGTATTGCAGCGCGGTGCCGTGCACGGGCAAGGGTACTGTAGTTGCGTGCCTCGCTGTTTGGTGGCGTCAACGCGTGACAATCTCGCCTAGTAGTAATATTTGAGGGCGGGAGCTCAAGATGGCTGCTTTGAAACGTTCTTCCGCAGAACGAGCACTCGCGGAAGAACTGCGTATTTTAAAGCCAGGAGCGCGGGCTAGCTGGCGCTTATAGCTTGGGCTGCAGTTTCACCTCATGGGTGAACGAAGCGTTCCCTGCCAAGTCACATTCAGGAGCAAGTAACTCCACGAGCGAGCCATATTGCCAAGAACTGACGCTGCTTCTTAGAAACTCGTGAGGTCGAGACATTTGGACGGAGCTTCACAAGCAGCTACCAGACGCAATTTTAAAATCAGTTCGTTCGTTTTAAAATTAGTTTCCGCGACTTTTCTTCCTGCAACCCCAAAACGCTAGTCTAGGATAGTGTATCTCGGCTGTCGGCACAAACTACACCACATCCAAACGAAGAAATAAGTGCAAAACATTTCGTTTCCGTACCCCTTAAAGACGAAACAAAGTTTAGTGTCGATATTTACCCGAAAAATTCGTCCACCTGCTTTCGTTTTTCCCCGACCTCAACTAACAACAGCGAGTGCTTCGCTGCCTCGTCATCGAGCGCTCCCTGAGAGTTTGATACGTTGCTCTTTGAACGGTGTCTCTTCCCTATTTGTCACTCCGATGCGCCAAAGACGCATTTCGGAACATTTTCTCGCCGTATTGCATGCGCCGGCGGATGACAGTTCATAAAAAGGCGGCGACAACTGCGATGTTGCACGGACTGGTTGATGGGCCACTTGGCTCGTAGTGTTGGCTACACCTTGACGTAAGCTGAAGCAAAGTATAATGAGCGTTTTATTGCGCGTTTACACTGGCGGATACGCGGGCGGATATGCACAGGCGGAAAGTGGATTTTGGTGCCGTGCGGCGGAATCGACTTCGACGCTGGCGGAAAATCTGTATACGAGTCCCGGACTGATCCAGAGTTTCCGCCAGCGACGAGTCGATTTCGCTGGCCAGCACCAAAAATCCGCTTTCCGCCAGCGCGGATCCGTCCGCGAATCCGCAAGTGTAAACTCGCCATTTGAGCTCACTTAGTGTTTAAGGGCTGTTCGAGACTTATTTCCTTCAGCAGTACTAAGAGTGAGTGTTATATAGATTGTTGTCACCCGAGTTACCTCCGCTGATCGCGGTCGTCACAGTGCAGTGCAGTACAAATTGTCACGTCGACGTATCTTGCACCGAGTTACATGCATTCAGCTGTAGCAATTATCTAATCGGTGTTCGTTTGTTCTCTTTGAACCCATGGATTGAGCTGCTTTTAAAGATACCACCTCTTTCCGACATCCAAGGTTGTGTTGGCAGGGAGCAAAGTTGAGCTTCCGACCAGTGCATTTAGTAAAAACAGCCGTACACTTCAATAGTTTTGGACCGTGTTTCTCCAGTGCAGCACCGAGTCACGCTATCTCACAGTGTTACGAGTAAGGTCATCTCGCTTCTAGTATACTTAATGGTATGAATTAGAAATTTTAGACGACGTAGAATTATGTCATAAAGCTCAGGCATGTCACTCGAAAGAGTACTCTTAGTTCCTTCGGTATTCTTCGTAGCTCCAGAGGAGCGACGCCACGCAGCGGACAGGACGTTAAGAAAGAATCAGGGCGCCGATTCAATTGTGCAGTGAAAACTGGCCGCGGCCCGGCGGCCTAAATAGAGATACCGTCGAAGTTGTAAATGCTAACTTGAAAGGCTGAATCTGGCACCTACCTTGTAGTGGGAAATGATGCCGTCGCAGACCCGGGGCGTACTGATCTTGAACATCTTGCAGGCGGTCCTGAGAAAGGAGACCAGCCTTTCCTCCGACTTGCCCTGCTTTATGTACTTCTGTAGCACTGACGTGGCCAGCTTGCACGCTCCGCAGTACAACAGGAAGCGGTTGGACGCCGCAGTCATCGTCGCCTCCTGCGAGGCGCCGAGTAAGACCCTCGTTCCCCAAACTCATCGCTCTGGCAGAGCACAAAAGAATAACCTGACTTGGTCTAAGTTTGGCATTCTAGGGGGCAGAACTTGGGCTAATAGGGTTTGGCTCAAAGGCGCTAGTTAGGGCCTATGCAATTTGCCTTTAACTTAACCATAGCGACATAAAACACAAAGTTGGGCGCTTTGCTGATTCGCCTACGAGTGCTATCTAAGTTCCATACACGAGGCAGAGATACCAGTTAACAACCGAATGACCAAGCAGTAAAGCCTCACTTGCCACTTGTAGGGAGGACCAAAATACACAGCCTCTGTTCAAATAGGTTTAGTTTTATTTTGAATTTTGTATTAACTTTTTTTTTTATTCAGAGGTACTTCTTTTTCTTAGAAAGAATATTATTGGAGTGGCATAATATAAATACACCCTAATCGACACAAGAAAAACAAATTACGTCACCCACCAACATTCAATACTTTGCGATAAACACAAATGCGCTTTATATGTGTAGTAATATTAAAAAGTTTCAAAGAACACCACGTAACATTTCTCAAAACCAAACAAGCAGAAAAAAATGGCCGCAAGCTACATGTCAGCAACAAAACAAAAACAAAAAGCACCAAGATATTTCCACAATTGGGGAGGAGATCGAACAGTCACGCCTCTAGCGGTGCGCTTCAGCTGTGGGGACAACAAACCCCATTTTCTTGTTTGTTTTTGATCCGAGAAATCGAAGACGACGATTCGAAGGCCGCTCCTCGTGCGACCAAAGCACTGATCAAAGCGAAGCGCTCGTGCCCAGATCGTGCTCGGCGAGGTTCAATTTCTTTGTTATGTTGTGTTGGTAAACACCGGGTTGTGGGGACAACAAGCTCTATAAAGCGCCCCCTATAGTTCGATCTTCTGCCCAATAGCTAAGAGCTGGTCCAGCTTTTCGGACTTTCAAGATCGTAGACTCCCAGTCTAGAATAAAATGTTTGTCCAGTGAACTGTGCCACTTGTGTAGGCATCCTTGATCCTCTCAGCAGTGCGCATTGTATTACCGCGTTTCAATAATGTCCCTATAACTTTTTACTCCTACCTAGATCAGCGCCCAACATGTAGCCGGTTTTAGGAGGCGCCGAATAGAGCTCATTAAGTGAAATTGGATTTCGAACATTTGGCATCAGCCTAATTCGCTTCTGGGGTGGCGAAACTTCGTTGTACTTGTACACCTTTGTATGATCAGCATACACGGTACGGCAAGTCAAAGGCGGCATGTTAAAATAATAAAGTAGTAAAGTTAATTAAAGTACAGTTAAGAGAAGGTGCGAGCCGCCAATATGGTGTCGAAAAGAGATAGTAAAATGACATATAATCTAATAGTTTTAATTTTATTTCGAAACAGTCAAGACGTTTAAGGTAGTATGCACTATATTTGACTGCTTCAACGGGAAGCCACAAGCTAACAAAATCTTGTCAAAATATTTTTGTGATACAAAATATCTAGTTTGCGCTACAGGGACATGCAACATTGCCTGGCACATCTCACATTCTCGCTTTGGTGCCACTTCCGGACGCTTAAAGAAACCATGGAAACGCGGCGTTCAATGATATTTAGGTATTTAAGAAGGCATCACAGAGCATGTCAGAATCTCACACTGCCCAGCCTGCGAAAGAAGGTCCCGATGACGTGCAGCTTCTGCCTCCAGAACTCGCGGTGGGCGTTGGGTCCCCGGGGGTGCCTCGCCGGAAGCAGCAGTACCGCCGGCAGACACAGCGCCAGCAGAAAGGCGGACACACGCATCGCGTCCGGGTGTCGCCTCTCTGGAAAAGAAACCGACAATACGGACACGCTCAGACACAGTTCAAGGAGGCGGGTGTCACTGCAGGGTATGAGGAGGACAACATTATAAGAAGGAATGTAGCTCCAGAGAATGGTCGAAATGTGTCAACTGCAGTGGCAACCGCTAATCTTAATATTCTTACTGACCTACAAAAAAAATTGCCATTGCAAAAAAAAAAAATCTATCGTTAAGAAAACACATTGAAGGCACAACGTTACCAAATCCAGCCATTGTTTGCCTTCCACAACAACCGGCGGAATCTTTGGAAGCACCCGCAAAGACCACTTAGACTGAGATGTTGAAACCTTCTTGCACGAGCCAAAAGGAAAAGAGAACTACAATACCAGAAAATTTCCTCTCCTTGGAGGAGCATCCAGTTGTGTCGACGATGTTAACACCCGTGCCAGCCCCACGTTGCACTCTAAATATTCTAACGCTTCCCACCCAGACGCCAGCAACACCACCCCCCTTCGAATCTTTCATAGCACCGACGAAAGCTAGTACATGTTGCTCAGGAGCTCCTACCAATGTTATTTGTAGCGTTAAAAGCCATCGTACGAAAATTCCCTGGTGCGAGCGAACCTCCGAAAATAGTGTCTCGGCAAACTGTGGAGTAATTAATAACGTCCTTAAGTGAACGTCACTATCGCAAAAAGATTACGTCGGAACTATGGAGGAACATTATAAGAAGGCCTCCATCCTATAATGAAATGCGAAAGGTTCGCCTTTCACATTTCATTGTGAAAGGCGCACGACTTTCCGACTTGAGACTGTCGGTTTTTAATTATATATTTTGCATTATTGTATCACGTAAATCAAACTCGTCAAAATATATTTCATTGTCGAGGTATAAATGCACTCAGTATGCGCACATAATACGACTCCAGGGACAATGTTTATTAAATATGCAAAAAAAATATAAAAAATATGCACACGAGGGAGAAATTCCGGGGATTTCTTTACGGCACGCGCATCCCGCGACAAAAACACCAGGCTTTGCGATGTGCAAAAGCCTCGCGTTTTCGTCCCGTGATGCTCGCGTGCCGGGGAAAAATCCCCGGGACTTCTCCCTCATGTGAATACCCCTTAAAAGGGGCTTTACATATATAGTGCACAAGTCGCTTCAGCACACGCAACAAAGGATACATTTGTGTCACGATTTTGAGTGAAATTAATAAAAAAGGTACCATATATACCACCAAAGTTTATATTCGACAAACAGTATTTGGAATCTGTCCTAAATACAACGTCATTGCTACATATTCGTACGGGGGATCTTGATGCCCATCACACCATACCGGGAAGCATGAGAACAAACCCTTAAAAAAAGAGGCTTGGAGGAGCTCGCCGACCATTATCCCCTATTTATCCCCAATGGCGAATCTCCGGCTTATTTATACGCAACGGAACACAGCAGCTGCCTCGACATGACATTCGTTGCAAACAGCGCAAACATAGCAGGTCACATGGTTGGCAGACATTGAAAATCATGAGAGTGTTCACGTGTTCACGTACCCTCTCATGAATGGCTTCATCAGTGCTAAAAAAATGCTTCCTAAAGCGAACCAATTGGCATACGTCTGAAGAAGCAGTACTGCAAGGAAGTTGTTGAACTGTCTCACTTTAAAAAGGTAATTTTAACCTGCACAGAAAAAACAGATACGTTTGTCCCGTCCAACCAAAACGGAACACCATCGACGCAGAGTATGAGCGCCTCCGCGCTTTGTGTCGGAAGGAAGATACAACCCAGGAGAACTAAAAACATAAAGGATCTTTGCGAATCACGCCGGGTGCAAAAGAAAATTCGTCATCATATTAAGACGCTTGCTCGACATCGCTTGGTAACAATTTAGAAAACTATGGATCACAGAAAGCCATTATGTAAACATATGAAGACTTTGTGATGTCTCAAATCTTCTCAAACACAGCTCCGTCTATTTCGCTCGGCGGCGTTCACAAGAAACTGTTCAGAGGAAGAGGTTGAAAACCAGTTTTGCGTTTCGTTGACAACATACGCGACCCAATCCAGCGAGCCTCCATCCGGACCACAGCCGTACCTCCATTTTGTGAAGAAGCCACGGACGTCATTTCACGATTGGTGAACTGCATTCTGCACTGAGTTCCGCGGGACCTCACATTTCTTCCGGAAGTGACGGCATGCCATACATTTATTTTAAATTGATACTTATGGGGAAGGACGCACTGAACTTTCTCATGAATACATCAGCGATTTCATTTTAAATCACACAAAAAATGGGACATTTTTGAAATAGGTATGGTAAAAACATACATGCTGGGCAAATTCTTTCCTAAGACGAAACTGAAAACCGTTTTTGCGTTCTAATTCGGTTCTCGAGTTTATTAGTTTTAAATTACCTGAGGCAATTTTTTTTTATTTAAGCGCTTGTCTCGCAAGATTATTAATTGCTTCGCACAACATATATGGTTTTTTACATGTTTTTTTATTAATCTACATTACAAGCGGAAGATGTTGATACAAAATGAGTCTTTTCAAGATATTTGTGTAAACTATTCATAGCCTACCCCTTTGAGGATAATTTGTCAGGTTTGGATGATGGTAACCTTTGTAACATTTAATTTGATCACATAAATTACATATCAAATCAAAGCTTCAACAAATACCTCTTCAACAAGTACAACATCGCTATAAGTAAAATATTATATTAGGAAGAAACGCCTTTAAATGCAAGAGGTAACTCTAAAAGTCGACATTTTAACATCAATTTTCTTAAAAAATAATTTTAGATGCTTTAGTGTTTTTTTTTTTGTATGACAAGCCCTTGGAACATTCTAAACACTCAGTGACAATCAGATGCAATGTATCGTTTGAACTTATTATTGCACACTATCGAAACGACGATATTTTACATGTTATATTTTAAGATGCAAAGCTAGATCGATGCCATTTGTTTCTGCCAGATTGTTCATTATTTGTTGATGCTAACTCGTAGTGTATGTTGCTTTTAATGCAACAAATATTTAATCATGTTATGTACAAGATGTGAAGGTTTTCATACAGACGTCTCACTTCTTTACCTAAAAAATCGAAGAAATCGCAACTGAACAAAATTTTCACTGAACTGAGTAAAAAAAAATTATAAATTTTATCTTCTGAAAGTTTCATCCGAGATACTGTGGCTGTAGGGGCAAAAGAGATGATTACTGACCCGCCGAGTGGCCTAGCACGAAATTTCGTTCTTTTCCAAGTGCCGTTTCGCCACGCACTCTAAGCCTAATGAGAAGGTGGACGTTAAATCCTTTCTATCCATCGTTTCTTCTTTAAAACGAAACTCGCATGGACCGAGGGGAAGCATAGCGTTCCCAAAACTTAATGTTGTTATGAGATGGTCCGTTTTGGTCACCTTTTGTTCTCTTCCGGGGCCTAGGGGTCCTACTATATCGTGTTGCTTTGATTTCCGATCAAAACCTAGCGTGGTAAAGCTGCTGCAGTGACCAATTTTAGCTTTAATTAGCCCGCAATATATCAATATTTGGGTAACCGAGTGCTGGCATTAAGTTTGAAGATCAATGAACACACAACCACATAAAATATATAATAGCGAAAGTTCACAAAAGCTTTTTGCATGACCACAAAGCGAGGTTAAAATGAGTTAAAGGTTCACTTTCGAGGCTTAGCGAATTGTTTTAACATAAAATGGAGAGATCGTCAATATTTCGATTTTCCGTCCACAAGCCGCGTACCGAATGTTATTGACAAAACTAAAAATTTCGTGCTCTTTTCTTTTCTTTTTTTTCTCGCAGCCAGATTTGTTGCATTTCTTTTCGGAAGAATGTTCCAGACTATCTGAACGAAGTGATCAGCGCGTGCATCTGTTGAAGTCCTGGTGACCTGCGATTGTGCAAGGAGGCTCGATACGCCGCGACACGCGCCTCGCACTCTCTGCATGTCGCCACAGCTCTCAGCTCACTACGTCGACGCCAAGAAAAAGACCGGATTGCTGTAAGTTTTTTTGTTTTTTTCAGGAACATTCGGTAATGCCACTTATGAATGAAGGCTGAAAGCAAAGGCGGTTTTCTAAATGCTACCTAAAATAAATAGCTAAGCATCGAGAATAATCTTCTAACCCTCCTTAACGGCCCCTTTCGATCACATTAAATGTTCTGTGAACTCGTGTTACCAAATATTTCACGTAAATGCATGTACTTCCCTACCGTACATGAGTGCTTTCTCTTTCTAAGAAATAGAAACAAATATCAGTAGATTTATTTACGCCTACTACTTACGAGGTTTAGTGTGCGTGAAGAAGCGAGAGTTAAAAAAGCAGAAACTTCGTCTTAAAGCTGTCGGCTCAGCAAATATATTTTGTTTCATCCAATTGCTCTATCTTTCCGTATCACTTTTTTTGCAATGAAATATCTATAAGTTTTAATTACCACGAGAAAAGTTAATAAATCTATTTACTCGTGGTTTCAGCTCTTTTAGAATAATAATTTGAACATGTCTAGGAAAACACTGGTATATTAAACATACAATACCGTCTACGCATCAGCCTTACTTCATCAACTTTTGTTTTAAATTGAAGCCAAAGAATACTCCGACATGGTGCCAAAATTTAGTTTAAAGATGGGCATAAAATAGACGGCGACCGAACTTCGGATCTTAAAAAGGAGCGTTATACATTTCATCTTTTTAAATGTACGAATCTATATGTTCAAACGATTTATTGCATCTAATTTTCAAATAAGATTTTCGACCATACCGAGGGCGCTTCATACGAAAAAATCACATTTGAAACTCACTCCTTTTTTTTTATATAAAATTTATATTGAAATACGTTCTTTAAGAGTGCCGTCTAGTGTTCAAATGCTTTTTTCGACAGGAGAAATTTACTTGATTATACCGATATTGTATTTGTTGAACAGGTATTTGTCTAAGCTTTCATTTGATACATATTGATTTTGTATTAATAATTTTTACGCAAGCTATCATCTT